TTTGAATTTGACCGTTGACGCGCATGCGCGTTACGCGCGATCCGTACGTTAACTCGATCGCAGATACTCCTGCTACTTTCTTTGGGTAATGTTGACACTGGTTGATCCTAGATACGGAATTCTGTTTGTTCAGACTTCGAGCGTGTCTCTTAACGCATACCAAGTATATAAAGATGTGTTTCTGTGTGGTTATATTCTTACGCGTAGCTGTGCTTCCATGCAGATGGCACACGAAGTGCATTAACATACGTCGCTAGCAATCTATATTCCTTGGGAACAAAAATGCCTATGGAATTGCCATGCAATTCCCATTGAATCTAGTATGGGAATAACTGCGGCACTGAACACGGGTATAAATATAATTGTACCAATAATTCTATCATTCAAACATTATCCCAACCGATTTACCAATTTACCAGTATATTCACGCTACGATAGGTATCACCCGATCTTCTTGTCAACGACAATTCCAAGTCTTGTTCTGATTTGTCCATCCAAAATGAACAGCCCGTAAGTGAATAGCAATGGCGGTACAGATGCAGGAATAAAATATGGTTTACTAAATAATGAAAAACATTTGGAAACTTAAAAATTTCTTTAACCAAACGCCATTCGGATCTGACCTAACGGACAAATTTGTACAGCATAGACCTGGGCCTGTAGTCTTCGAAATTTCTTATTCTAATACAGTATTGTCTACCCATAGCTTCCTCCAGGTATCCAATGCAAAATCTAGTGACCGTAGACTATGCAAAATCCATTACCAAATTTATTCTCTGACATCATACCCAAACCGGCCAACATCGGTCAGTGTCGATTCTGGCTGACTGGCAACGCATTGTAAGGGCTTATACACACGCAGGTGATATGTGATAAGCGATAACTCATAAATATAAGCGCGTGAGGTATCGATTGTGAACTCACGCAGTCACGCGTGGCTTCTACAAGAGCGTCGATTCTCATTTTAGATACGAAGACTGACCGAAGGAGATTGGCTTCTGCGAGCGACTTTAATGGCCCTGAATTATTTATTCGGCTTGGCGTTCCTAGGTAATATCGTGAAAAATCTCGGTGGGTTGCTCAATGTTGTTATGCATATTTCTTGTACGTTTAAATATACATATAGGTATAACGTTATGAGGATACAGAAAATGATTACACTCAAGAGCCAATCGCGTGTCGATGTTCCTATGTGATAACGTCATTTAGCATCTGGATGGCAGCAGGTGTTCGTAGGTATTCGGGGATACTCGGTAAAGTTCGGATTTGCCAATGTTCTTTGCCCTTGAGCGAAAGATTCATGGGTCTTGGCTTCGTATTGCCGTAGTTTTACTTATCGCGTACGGATGAAAGACAGTAGTGGGGATTTGGCAAATGTGGATTGTTAAGGCGCATTCACATTTTTATTGGAATTGGGTCGTTGAACTTTATTGGTTTGATGTTTTACTAGATTTAAATGCATTTGGGAGATTTATGGATTTGCGGGAAAATTAAATAATTTTACCTTTGTTTTTTATTCAACGTAAATTTATGTCGGGGGAATTAATACGGTTTCCGCCATTTGTCTCCGTAACAGTCGCCGCCGTGAATACCGATCCTTTTTGGTCGTAACATGTAAACGGTAGGTCTGTGCTTACTTAGAAATAAATCGTATAAGAAATGTAGTGCATTTCATTTCATTGCTTCTTTTTCTGTTTCAATTACTGTACCGGATGGAGATACATGTTGCCGTGTAAGAGAAAGGCAATTCAATTCTTTAAGTCATTTGTAGAAAAAAAAAGACAAAATAAATCGCCCACAATGTAAATCCAGCCACAAAATTACCCACGGTATCCGTTTGTCGCATGTAGAATTACGGATCCGCAAATGGCGCGCGATTTAAATCTCAGCAAAGACCTTTATACAGTCCAAAGAATTCCTCAAGCAATTATCCCACTGGACCGTTTTCATGAGAATTATTCTTAAGGCGCTTCTATGTATCTATCTGTATTACCTACGTATCTACCACCTCTGGGGGAGGTGAGGGAGGATTGCGCAATCACTCAGCCAGATTGTCCACGAAGTAATGGATTTATAGTAGAGCGACGTATCAATGCCCATTCAATTAGCGCCGCCAGGCGGGGACGTCGCGCAACTAAAAGAATCCTTAGTTCGGTATCTGACAGCCAGAGGGTGGCGTCGTAGAAGTTTCTGGAAAGTCAAATGACTTCCTACGAACATTACGTACTGGTCTTACGTAGGTTATAAACATTTTATTTTTTATTTTATTTCGACTTCAATCTTATTATTGGATCTTATATGCGTTCAGCTGGTGGTTCAGCACAGCTCAGTCTCTTGAGATTTACTGCACCCGTCAAACTCTTCTTACCTTTCTTTTTCTTCTTATTATCTTCATTATTACCATTACTCGAACGATTTCATTTGCTGCTACGGTCATCCGATTACGATTCGATAGCCGGACGGTCATTCCGCAAACCCGGTTAAGCGGATTACGTTTTACGCGTTGCGATTTTATTTCGTTGCTCTTTATGGTGACTGGTTTACGCGCGGAATTTATTACGACGTTTTTGTTTTTTTAGTGGTATTTCGTCGTTTCTTTTTTTCTTCTGATTATATTCCCGGATTAAAATGTCATCCTGACGACGTTTCGTGGCGTCGAGGCGATAATTGACACGTTGATCTGGCATGTAAATTTTCTGGTTACGGGTGACTCGCTGTTTTCAAACTTTATTTATCTTCAGACTAACTTGCACTCTTTTGATATTTATTAATACAAAAATTCAGTTTGACCATTTTCCATAGTCTTAATTACGAAATATTACGGAGAGAGACAAAGGGCTGTAGAGCGGGCGGAGACATAGTTTTGTTACGGTTAAAGGCAGCGGAGGAATCCCCTGACCCGAGCTAAGGATATGGTGCCCGGCTGTTGCCCAATGACCTGGGGAAGCAGCCGTGGAGGATCTCCAAAAGTTACGTAAGGATTCGCTATGGAACGCTCTCGATTTGGTTTGAAGGGACGACTCAAGGGAAAGGATAAGAGTTATCGGCTATAAGGACCTCGACCAATCAGAATGACTAGTTATCATATTTGGCTATTGTCAATCAGTCTGTCTTGGGACACCGACCGAGGTGTCTCGAGCTGCCTCGCGCTCCCGAGCTATTTGTTGATAATTTTTTTACCTGTGTTTCCTATACGCTATAAAAGATTCTCGCCTGTGCAGTTCTCGCGTTGCTCTCGCGATATCCAGGAAATTCTATGGATTTCCTGTAAGTGTTCCGGAGGTGTCGTGTCGTGCCCTAGTGCAGTACCCACCCGAGTGTCCTCTGGATACGATTCTCGGCCTTCACGGATTAGCTGCACCAGCTCCGGTGAGGACCCCCAATTTATTAATTGGTGAAGGGATTTCGATTTGATACTTCCAATTCGTTCTGTTACGTTCTCGATCGGTTGCTCTCTGTATCCCGCATTATTTACCTGACGCATCCTCGGACCCTGTCCACCTCAACCTGGCAACCTGAGCGGCCGCGCATTTCCGTAACCGTCCGCTCCCGTTCGTGCATCCAGTTGAGTTTGCTGGTTTTACGCGACCCCAAAAATCAGGAGGATCCGTTTGGTTATCGCATCTTCGGATAAGTTCCGTCAGAGCTCTCGTTGGGCCTATTCCACCCCCACTCCCGGGTCATACCGGCTTGTCAGTTCCCAGTGACAAAAGAATTGACTGGCGCCCGCCTAGCTTGCGGATGGATGAGCGAAAAGTGGAAGGCCGAGAGTAACGTAGGTTGGTTCTCGAAGGTAGTCACTTTTAGGATTTTTCGTTATCGTGGTCGAGTTAAGAGAACACGTTGCAGTATATATGTACTCTGAGATCATATACTCAAGTTTTACTCACGACTCGATATAAATAATACAAAAGTTATCGACATTGACGCCCGGCTCGGTTGCGCATAATTAAAACAAACAAAAGACGATCAGGAAGCGAGCGAAGATCAGCGTCCTTGCAGAATACCAAGTGGCCTCTGAGAATATTCTCATGCGTATACCATATGTGTATATACGTATCACATAGATGTAAAACTTGGATATATCCAAGAATCCTTAATCAGGGTCTATGAGATCCGTAGAAAAAAAAAAATTGATTTCTCATATCTCGAAAATTCGTGTATTACGTATGCCAGCGTGAAATGAAAAATATTTTATTTTTCGAAAATTAAAAAAAAATTGCACCAGACCTCGTAAAATTTTGGAAGGGCGAGCACGGTCCGTGGCGCAGGAGAATTCTTATTTCTTACCTGTGGCCCAAAAGCAGCAGGGAGTGGTTGCGGGCCTCTCTATCCCAATCACCCTAAAAATGAATGATGGACCCAAAACTGGTCTCTGGACGGGGTTGTTCTTGGATATTTATACGTCCACTTGTATCTCCGCGATAAATAAAAAGATACCTTGTGTCAAGATATTTACCGTATCGTATAAGACGTTAAATTTATAACTTTGTGGTAATTTTGTCTTGGATCATTTTTGTTGGTAATGTTTATAAGTATTATTATATTACGTATTAGTGTGTATAATTGTTATATCGCTGCTCGAAACAATTCCTATCGGTTCGTGACCTCCGACATATGTATAATAAAGGTGCGTTCCACACCCAAGGCCCAAATACATTATTTCCAATGACTGGCAACCTACCACTTTTCGTGAAGGGTTAAGCCCGTAGTAAACGGTTGGATAATGACGGGTTTCAGAATACGGCACGGACCACGGGGCCTTATGCAAAAGGTACGGTACACTATAGGGAGTCCCCCTATCACCAAACTGGGCCCCAAATTGGAGGTTGATTTGAACTAATGACAGCTATCATTCGGTGCTTCGATAAAACTACTACCCAGCGTTGCCAACACTATAGAAAAAACATTCTAGCACCGATTCTTTTTTGTATGAGAAAGATGCCTTATAACTTGATTTTTTATTTTGCAAATTTTTTTTTTTCTTGTTGATTTTTTTTATTTTATGACGTATTCTAATATTCGCCATAACGGTATTTGGACGCGTGGCGTAAGTCGGGTGGAAATTGGTAACTGTGTGTCGATGTAGGTTAAGGAGGTTTTGGGCTATTTTGGGACTTATGGCTTCGCTAGGGCATTGTGTATTTACTATACCTAGGGTTGTATTTCTCTTCTAAGCTTGGGCCCATTTTTATTTTACGGGGCCTTCTCATCGCGTTCACGTTCCAACCATTGTATGGAGAAACCGTTTCAAGACGCCGCCGACGGTTTTAATGAGAATTTTAATTATCCAATCAGGCCCTTTCGTCTTTGAGATATGGTTTATGGGGATATATATGTGTATGTATATATTTTTGTATTTTCAGGGAGAATAATATTGAGAAATTCTACAGTTTGACAATTAGCTTGACAGAAATTGATTATTGTTTTAATTTTGCTTTTTTGAATTATTTTTTAAAGGATTTTTGAAAATTTTGTTTAACTGCACAGTGATTTAAATAATTGACAGTACAATAGATTCTACATATGGTGCACAAATGTTGCAGATAGTTTAAGTTTCTTTTTTCGGAAATTGTGCTTTTTTTGGGTAAGAATTCGTCAAGACTTTGGGGGTTTTGATTTTGCTATTTTGTCTTTGGTTATTTTTCTATCGAAACGTTCTAGCCAGATTGCGTATATCAAATCCTTTTCTGGTCGTACGTCGTTTTCAGAAATACTTGGGTGTTGGGAATTTTCCGAAATGGTCATTTTAGTTATTTCGGGATTTCTAGAACTTTCGGAAATTTTGTTTAAATTTTGTTTGTTGTTTGCGGGTAATGTCGTAATTGAAATTTTCGATGCTGCTGATTTTCTCGATTGGGTTGCATATTTTTTTATTACACTTGAACCACTTGTGGTTTGATTGGTTGTCCTTGTGGCGCTTCTGTCAATTTCTGGTATACTTGAAAAATTCACTAAATTTTTTATTATTTTTTCATCTTTCTTGGAAATTTGAGCATATGTAGTTTCGTTTTCTTTAGTTATATTTTTGACTTTCTTCATGGGCTCCAATACGATTTTGAGTCGTGGAATTTGAGTCAGGGAAGCTTTCCTTTCTACAACATGAGTTTTCCCTTTATTTTTGTAAATTTCTGTTTTTCCAATTGCTACAAATCCAGAATGATTCTCGTTTACTTTAAGTGGATTTTTGTTTACTGATTTATTCTTTACAACCATATTGATTCCGTCAGAAACTTTTGATTCGTTTAATCCCTTTTTTGATTTCTTTCTAGACATCACTTTCAATCCATAATCAATAAGAGTACCATCGTCATTTTTCGAAATTGGTTTTAGAGGGTCTACCTTTAATTTCGATTGTGAACTCTTTAAATTAGTACTGCCAAAATTAGAATTTGAATTTTGTCTCATAGAGGTTGCTGAATGATTCTGGTCTTTCTTTATATTTTCTTTACTTAAAATATTCGATTTCACGTATGACGATATTTTTGGAATATTTTTTTGAGATTTCATTTCCACGGAATTTGTATCCTTTGAAGTCTCCACTGTCGTCATATCTATTTTGGTATCTTTTTTTGATATCATTTTACTCGGAGAAAACCATGACACTTTTGATACCCCTTTATCATTTTTTGAAAAAATTTCTGATTTTGCTTTCTCTTGGAAAATACTTTTTGTATTTCTACTAACATTCGACAACTGTACACCAGTACTGACATTTTCGCCTAACTTTTTTTTATTATTTGTTTCTGGTATTTTCATGCTTCCGGAAGAACCCGGTTTGTTAGCTTCAGCTGCAGGATCAGTATTTCCGGAAGATTTTCCTTTGTTCACCTCATTATTTTGCAAAATGTCCTTACTCTTTTCTACTTTAACGTTTTTTGAATTTGACGAAGACGAGATGTCTAATTTTTTGTTAGGTTTAATCTCGATCTTGTCAGTTACTTTCATATCAGCATCTGACTTCACTCCAGGCAATGTCGAAACACCGGAAACGCCCTCTGACACTTTATTCAAATTTTTAGATGTCGTATTATGCGTGCCAGCCATTTTCGAACCTTCGATTTTCGTAGATTTTGCCTTAGAAGCATCTGATTTCTCTGCAATATACGGCTTAACTTTATTAACAGCAACCGTCGCTTTCTTTTGATTTTGAATTTTGGAAGTGACGTCAGAAGTGTCAATCAATTTTTTCCCAACGCGGTTACCAGTCGCGTCCATTTTTTCAGGCATTTTTATCACTTCAGTACCACCTGTACGCCTACTTCTCAGATCATTCATCTTATTTCCAAAATTTTCTTGCTTTTTGGGAATATTCAAATCAGAACCTTTCCTTGACATAGCATTATCAACCTTTGCACTAATTCTATCATTTTTCTTTTTTATTTCATTCTTAATAATTTTTGTAATCGCGGACACGCTCCTTCGTCTCTTTCTAGATCTTCCTCTACTGATACCAAAACCATTTTGAATTTGCGATCTTTTTCGACTAATCGAACCAACCGCTAATTTCTGTTGAGAATCCGTCTTTTCATTATTTGCCATCTTTGTTTTTTCAACAATATTTCCGTACGATTGGCTTTTCGAAATTTGGGATTTTCTTAATGGTTCTTTATCTTTAGCTACAGACGATGAAAACTTGTCAGGCAATTTTCTTGATCGGTCCACTTGATTAGTTGATTGACTACGAGACGGTGCTTTTCCAGCTTCCGTTGACCCTGAACCGGAAGTACCACCAGAATTCTTAGTGAACTTAAAAGAATCCGGCGATGCCCACCAGGGCAAAACACGAGACGTTATGCGTATTACAGTTTGATTATTTTCTACATCGTGCTGTAAGTTTGACTGTAATTTTGGATCCTTTGGTCCAGATTTCGATCCACCAGAACTTGAACCAGCAGTATTTCCTCTGGAACCGATACTTCCGGTACTAGCAGCACCTGCCCCAGGTGAACCGGAAGATGAAACCCCTTTCAATGCCATGTCCACGGATTGATCTCGTCCAGATGAAATTTGCAAATTCAAAAAAGAGCCTCGTCTCTCCCCTTCTTTCAAAAATTCCTCCTTTCCTTTAACAAACGTCGGCAAAACAATTTCCACATTACCGACAGAATTGGCAACTTCATCATTTCTCGACGACAGACTCTTTACTTCCTTCCCCATTTTTCCATTGATTCGAATTTCAATCTGTCTCACATTACCGGAAGTTCCTTCAGCAGGGTGTTGTTCCTCGTTAACAGTAATATATACAGAACTTCCTGTATTTTGTTTATCAAGAGTCTTGTCTGTTAGGTCGTTCCTTAATTTTGATTTTGACAAATCATAATAATCTTGAACTTCCGGTACATTTTTTATATTTCCAATATCATTCAATGATTCCAAATTTAAACTGACACTCGATCCTTTGAGATTGACAGATAATCCAGACGCAGATGGACCCAAGCGCAAAGTCACTTCCGATCCTAAATTTGTCTCGGTGACTGATTTCATTTTGATTTTAAAATTCGTATCACTTTTCTCACCAATAAGGTATTCCAACAAATATTCTCTTTTGGAAGGTATGGGGTCAGGATGAATAGTCCTGTCACCTACAGTCAGTTTCTTATCGCTAGTGATTTCAGATTTGGTAGCGAATCCTCTGGCACTTTTAGCAGCCGAGACAAGCTCGTTCTTATTGGTCATTGGCTTTGGCTTTTTCTGGGCCACGTGAGCTGCCACAACCTCGTCCAACCAATCGGCGTTGCGATCGACAAATTCCAATACCTCAGCTTCATCGAACTTAGTATCCTTCATAATCTTCGCGCCTTCGTTCAGGTTCGCGTTACTTTTTAGACCCCTCAAGGTGGCCTCCATGACTCCCAACCATTCCGAGTATTTCTCCGAGTCTCGAAGTCCAGTAGAATCTCTCGTGGATGATGTCGATGAACCCTGTCTTCGTGAACCAAAGTCATCTTTGCTTCTTCTTACTTGCGAAAATTTTTTGGATTCGTCGTATCTTCTGAAACTTAATTCATTTGTGGATCGAGATTCGTCGTTCGGATTTATTCGTAAGTCTTCGGCATAGTTCGCTATCAACTTTGCATAGGATCGTGGATATTTTTCTATGTTTAATAGTAGGGTTGCGTTTTTGGAATCTAGCGTTTTTGATTTTTCCATATGTTTTTTCGAATACGTCGTCTGATTTTTTGAATCACTCTTGAAAGTCGATATCTGACTGAGACTGTATGCATTTGATTGGGGTATATTTGACTGACTTGATTTTTTATTCTGTCGAGCCGTGTTTTGGATTTTTGTACTTTTTGATTTTCGTGCAATTTCCAATTGGCCTGTTTTGCTTTTTATTCTTAGCAAGGACTTACTGTTGCTTTTGCGGCTATCCTGGTATCGGTTGGTGGTTATTTTCGAAATTTTATTAACTTCAAAATTTCGTCTTAGGAAATTGTCCGATTGAACACTTTTCAAAATTCTTGACTTGAAGTATCGCTTTCGTATGCATTTTTCGCCTGTGTTGTTGCCACATGTTGCGACTGCATCTTAAAAAAAATAACCAAAATAAAATAGCGCTACGTTATATCATCGAAAAAAAAATTACAAAAATTTACATTATCGAATAATTTTTAATCAATTTCAAAATCCTATTACGAAGTACATACTTACTGGATGGAACGCGTCTTGGGACATGTAAGCCAAAGAAATACCTTAACTGATTCATTGTGCCATCATAATAAGACCAAAGTAACAACAACGTTATAATTTGAGAATTTTCAAAATATTTCACGAAGCGTCACTCATAATTTTCCAAAAAATTCAAAAGCAACCTCAATAAACCAACAAGATTTTTCCAGCAATTTTAAAACGTCATGACCAACTGTCACTCAAAAATCCCCAAGCACAATCTCATGTGCTTTGAAAAAAAAAAAAAAAAAAAAAAAAAAAAAACCCACCATCTTGCTCGCACCCCATTGTTTTACAAATTGACCGGCACAAATTTCAAACTCGTAATTCACGCGGCTGCGCGCATGCGTGAAAGTCACAGTGCGCATGCGCTTCGGCCAAGCTCACTACCCCGGATTATCAAAATGTGGGGTAGAAGATCCTCCGCCGGCACTTTAAAACGACAAAAGGTCCCCTGCAGGCACAAAATGATAAGGATCTACGAGTGGATGCGTCGGACTCGCGTGACTTTAACGCGAGATCAAGCGCACAATGCAGAGCCGATACCTTTATCTCCGTCGATCTTAAAGCTGGAGGGCCTTAGATCTCTCGCGATCCATGCGCCTGCGTGTACGCGCGCATTTACATCGGTGATTCTCAAGAAGAAAAAAAAAATAAAAGAATGAGAACAAAGAAAACATGAAGAAAAAAGAAAGAGACGAGAGGATCAAACGCGGGAAATTTAAAAAGACGTAACACAACAAAGAGGCACGAACGATTTTCCGAGGCTGTTGCCAAGACCTATACGAGGATCTATAGTAGATCCATCGCGAAATACAGGTAGTGCATTGATTAACTTCGCGGTATAGCATTATCTCGGAGAACCGCAATTGATCCTGAATTCATCCTTGAATCCCTCTTACATTCGCTACAATTTGTTCCAATAAAGCCGCAGACGGTTACACCAGAGAAGCAATATTCGAAGATCCATATTATCCGTGAACGTAGACCGTAATGAGATATTAAAATAAAAGAACGAACTGAATATACAGTAAACACGTAAAAGATACAAATTTCAATTTCGAACGTATCCTATATTTCTTATACTAAACACAATCCATACTGTATACTTTGTTTCATTTACCGCAGTAGCACTGATATATAATCCAGCAATAAAATTAAAAAAAAGAATTTCATACTATGTGGTTAGTTCCATTTACCAAGGTAGCAATATTATATTACTCATTAATATATCCAGCAATAAAATATAATAGAAAGGAAATTAATATAAAATATTAAATAAAAAAAAAAAATAATACAGATCCTAATTTCAAACGGATCGTGTATCTCGCATATTACGTGTAATTCGTACTGTGTAGTTCGTTCCGTTCGCCACGGTAGCAATGAGCGCTGGCATCGCGTAGTATAGCGTTACCATGAAAATAAATGATAACATAAAAATATTGCGGTCACGTTATCCCCTATAGATTACAGCTGATACGCCTCAGTGAGTTACGCAATTTTCGTGGCCTCTCGCCAACCAACAAAGGATCCTTGCCGCTTGATCTTTCCCCATTAACCATAAAGGATCGAGACACGAGAGAACTCTCGCTAGCAGCGACCTCTGCCAGATTCCAAAAAGACGATTAAACCTTGGTTAATCACGAGCCTAGACGCTCCGCGTCCGCACGAGTCACGATACACGATGCTGCAGTTGCACGACGTGGGGTCAGAGAAGCTGCGCCATTCCGTGCTCTGAAATTCCACGGTGCTGCGCGATCACAAGGCGCAAAACAAAGCAATCGTGATCATGGGATCGTAACTATAACTATATATATATAAGAATCTTTTGAATTTCCCGCCAAGACACGAAGACATTCCTTATGTTCAAAGGAGACTGTAAAAAGAATTATCTAGAGTCACGGACTCATTATTACACAGAGAGGCCAACGCGTGTCTGATCCTGGATTAAGCTTAATGTCAAGTCTCGTTAAAAATCCGCTAGATGGCGCTGATGATTGTTACAACCACGAGTGATACTTCGAACATAGCCGCGTAGAATCTTGGGTGATTTTTTGGTAACTGATATGAAGTAAATGGTAATATGTATGTATATGTGTAAAGTATGTAACTTCGTTCTTAAATTTGAATTTAAATTGTTGTAAGCGATTCTACTTACCCTGGCGCAATCATCCAAGATGATTGTATACGTGAAGGGATAAGATAAAATGGCGAACCATATACGGGCCAGTGGGAAAGCCAGCCGGGACTCTGGACTTGGGTGGCTGCCCAGTTGGTTAAGGAGAATGGTTTTTGCGATCCGGCAAGCCGACGGCGGCGATTGTCTCTTGTTCTAAATCAAACCCCTTGGTCTTCGTAGAGGGAATCCGGGGTCCCAGGATTGGGACCCAGGATACCTCAATGCCTCCTGCGAGTTCTTCGTCCTTTCGGTATTCGCGTCACGTTTGCTCGTACCGTTATTCGCCTCCTGGTCAATTCCATCAATTTCCTTTGTTTGTCTAATTTTTTGTTTAACGTTTTCGTACGTTTTGTTTTTTCTATTATGAGCTCCTTTTTACTTGTTATATTCTTATCTGTTTTGTCGATGCTATAAAGAAAATTACGTTTTATGACTTTTTTTAATTCACCATTTTATTTCTTTTTCTGAGATACGAGAGTAGATATAATGATTTTTGTTTTATTCAAACGTAAATTTTTTTTACATAAAATATTCAAATCAACACTTGTTTCCCGCGAAAACGTGATTTTATCGACTTGACGATCACACGCGAACGTGTTCACGGATGTCGCTGGTGGAATATAAATCGAATTACTGCTTTTTCTATATGTATAAACAGGGCCTGACGAAAAACCCAAAGACACGAGTCCCGTCGTTGTCGCGTTTTGTGGAAACAATCAGGGCCCCATTGTAAACAAGCATATGAATGCATAAGCAGCGCAGTTAACACGAGAGGCCCCAACCGTGTTTAAGACTTTTTGCGTACGAGTCTAACCTCAAAAGACGCCGCTTACATATAAGAAGGGTATAGAGAGAATGGCTCCGACGCAGGATTGGTCCCAGAATCGGCTAAGATCGGTCAAAAGGGCCCCCACAGTCCGAAGTATATACACCGTGGCGTCGATAAATACAAGAGATGTCACCGTTTGCCATAGACTTTTTTCTTTTTTTATCTTCTTGTTTTCTTACACATTTTTCAAACACTCCCGCCGTCCGTATTCACTTTTGTAAACCTAAAGAACAGTTTACGCATCTCTCATGCACGAAACAGTCCTCCCACCTAACCTGTACTTACACTGTATACATTATGGATCTAGAATTTAAAAAAAATTGCTTCAGGTGTCAAAGCGATACTGCATAAGAATTAGTACCTACTTAAATCGTCATGTAATAACCGCCGACCGTGGCGCCACTGTCGCCTTCTAGAAGACCGTTATTCGTTTACAGCACTGAAGTCGTTTCGTGGCTAATTTCAAACACGTGAAAACGTTCATCGTTATCGTAACAAGCCAGTGACGTAATTTTCTAGAACAACCTGCTCTCTGTTTATTATTTACGATTGCTTGGAATGACTGTACCTGCTCTCGAGCTAGACGTTTTACATAAACAGCGCGCCATTACCGCTACGACTTACCGCGTTTTTTCAAATTCGAAATTCCAACCTCAGTGGCCAAAAATTTCTTCTGTTCCCATTCGTTGCAATTCTTTTCTCAAATATATAATCGTACCGTACAATATTTATTTTTATTATCAAAATCTTGACTCTAATGGTATTTAAACGCGCGCATGCGCGCCATATTAAATATGCCGTTACCTTCATCCGGAACGGAATGTTTCGAACCGGTTTGGCATACTATGATCGAATTTTTGACGATTACATACTACCGCTTACAGATTAGCAGCTGCATGGCGGTTAATCAAAATTCAGAGTCAGCGAGTAGGTCAAATATGCATTAAAAATCGGGAAAAATAAATTTCAACGGTACAGTACACTTTGGCAATAGTACAAAAAATTTCCATAAACCAAATGATAAAAAAAAATATTTTTGATTCCGGCAAATATTGAAATAATTTTTTTGTAATATCACGTCACTCTCTCTTCTCTTTCTCACGTCTCGTCAGTCTCGTTTTTCCTTTTCCTTTTTCTTCTCCTGCTCCCTCTTTCACTTCCTTCAACGCAATACGTATCGCCGTAATTAGAGAGACTCCCAAGATGGCGACTAACGAGAGTCGCAATCAACCGCGGCGTCTCCTTTCCTACGTCATTTGTTTAAGTTGATCGTTGCGCCCGGTGCCTTCGGTCGTTCCGTCCGAATAAGGCAAGGCGCGTTTCCAGCTCCGCAGCGAGTGCGAAAGAACAAAGAGGAATCCGAGAGTGGCGCACAAGTGCTGAGAGTGCCGAGTCCCGAGACTCCTGAGAGTATCAGTAAAGACACCCGCTGTTACCTGCACTGTCCTTTCCATAGGTTAATCAGAGAGACAGCATCCGTATATGCTCTGGACCACGTCCAAATAGTTATAAAAAAATGTAATTAAGAAAAAAAACCTTGAAATTTTACAAATCACTCATTCTTATTTAATAAATTATTTTTTTTTTCCAGATACGCAAACTCGCAACCGGAAATGCAAGAAAACCGTTGAAGATTCCGCAATGGCGGAACCGTACCTAACCTCCTTCGCTCTCTTCGAAGATCACGGAAGGATTCTATCCCGAAGAGACTGCTTGCCCATCCTCATCGACAGTACCTTGGCTAGGTCCACGGGTTCCTAGAGGGCATGCACGCTCATCATGTTCAACCAGTATCACGGGCCACGAGCGCTGTCGACACTCTACATCTTCAGCGTCCCGCTACTCCTTCTGGTGCTAATTGGTAGCTACGATGCATTCGCAGATCTCGGTTCCGAATTCGTCAAAGGAAAAAGTGAGTTTTCATTAAGTCGGTTAGGATTGAGTGACCTAGCCTGACGTAAAAATTAAAATATGTCCAATTCTACGTTGCACGTTTAGATGAATAAGTATTATATAAATATATGTATAGATTAAGACAAAAATCTGGGAACATCGGTACGGGTACATTGAGACCGTTGCACATTTTTTATTTTCAATTTTTGCTTCAACTAATCTTTTTTTTACCAGCGAAATACACTTATGTTTGCAGAATTACGTCACATCCTGCGACGCAGGAATATATTTTTGTTCTTTTGTAAATTACATTAACGCAATGTAACAACGTGTAGGTTGAATGGGTGTTCTTCGTCCAAGTCCCCCCCAAACCCTTTTTTAACCAACTTCTCAGACTCAGGGAGAGTTTTCAAAGTGACGTGAGATATTCCACCCATCTAGGAACGAAGGCCGATACTTTTTTTTAAGTCTGATATACAAGCTTAGAGGCATAAGAGAGTTTCTCAAGGTACAGTTAGAAAGGAGGAGACCAAATGCTTAGGCATTTCTCCAACGGTGCCTACAGACCCGTCAGGCCCTTTACCTGTATACTCATACATATATATATAATGTATACCCACCCATCTTTGGGTCCATAGAGGTCCCAAGTGTTTGGGGCCTTGCCTCTTCGAGTCTCATCGAACTTGACTCCGGTGGTGACTGCCGACTCTCTACCTTGCTCTGATCCTGCCCACAGTACCTAGTAAGCGTACGAGTTACTCGCGTGTGTTACTACGTGTCGACGATCCTCCATGTTTTCATGGGAAAGCGTGGGCCACGCATGAGCACGTGGCCGTTAAGGCGTGACCCACATTAGGTTTGGTTACTGGTACCAGCTCGGTGCCAAGAGAAACCATAGTGAATCTTTGACTTAAGACGAATCGGAAGTCAGGAAAGATTCTCTAATTTGACAAATGGATTTATATTTTTTCTTTTGACATAACATTCGGTGCAATTGAAAATTTTATAAAATTCGTACAGCCTCTTGCGCTTCCGTAAATTCGTTGTTATCATTATTCCTTTGTTTCTTCGGGCTGGACAATAAAAATTGGTGAAAAATAATTTTTAGCAAACAATTGCGATGAAGTTTTCATAAACAACTTTTTTGGAAAATATTTCGTTCATATTTGTTTAAAAAAAACATACATGACACTCGCCCATCATAAAGTTGATTTCCATCAGAGCGATAACCGACCCACGTTTCACGTCCATTAGATGAAATTCCAGTGCGCCGTGAGGTCCTTCGAGTTCTTTTAAGGATAAGTCACAGCGTGGTAATAATTGAAAGGTTAAAATTGAATAATGCCGCGGCAAGCGTAACCAGAAATTATCCTCATGGCATTCGGGCTCCATCGCATTAAGCGATAACGTAGCAATTAAGAGTACCCCCGGGGGCACGTGGATTTTTCTCATCATCCTCGGCGACGACGACCTGGACCATAAATTCATCCTAGTGAGAGCGCAGCATCCGACTGGGAGCGGTTAAACGAACTTGACGATTCGATAAGTTAGAATTCAAATATCAAGATGATCTAACCTTACTTTTCCTTTTCTCCACCACCACCCGCCCTTTCGTGTCCGTAAGATTAAAATCTCATTAGTTCTTTTTTTTTTTTTAATATTCTCAGCGTACCATTTTTTACTCATTACTCTCTCGGTATCGAAATCCTCGCCGGTTTATCCGAAGATCAATAACGATCGATCCTTTCGAACGAAGCTGAAAAATAAAGAATCAAAAATTTAAAGCTGATCGGTTACGATCGACTTTATCATCTATATTAATTATTGCACGTTCCCCGTGCTTCTTGGGTGGCTTCGCTCTGCGCAAGCCCAAGATTACATCTTCAAATATTGCTGCCGCGAAGAGCCAACCTAACCTAACAACATAACCTCAACTCGAAGGCTAAACATCGGTTACGGTCGAATGAGCATAATGAGAGCAAAGGATATATATATATATATATATGCTTATTATACGTACATTCTACCTTCATACAACTTTATCTTTGTATGCGGATCTTCAAGAGACATCTGGGAGGCATGTCTTAATTGACCGTTCGGAATATTGACGAGATTCAGAGACGACGAATTGAGACGTTGAATTTCCGAGGGTACCTTTTTGTCGTCGATGAAATATGACCGTTCGTTATATATAATGTGTATGTGTATATATATCGCAGGAATATTTATGTACCGAAACAAGAGACCTTAGGTAAAAGTGGGACGAATTGAAAAACAAAAAGAGAAAGGAATAAAGCGACAAATTTTTAAATTATAAAAAAACCGTTACGAAAGAATATAACGTAAGAGTGACGGGTACCATTTTTGTTTTTAATGACAAACGTCGCGTCTTTTATCTGTCCTTTTATTTTTCAAGGCTTTTGTATATTTCGTAAATCAATTTGACGAGCTCAAGATTGTTCTTTAATATGGAAAGATAATCCCCCGCGTAACCGATAATAAAATCTTTACAGTCCAGAGCCTAAGAATGGAGGTGACAATCAAACGAGACTTTGAGAATGTCTCTGTTTAATTATTTTGATATCGTGCGGCGAGCATGAGGTACGGACCTATTATACGAGAGAGCGATAGCGCGTAATGTGGAAACGTTCGTTATGTAAATGCGGCTTAACGTGGATTCAATTAAGCTGGAATTCCAAGCGGTTGATTGCGCACGCGCGTAGATACTCGGTGCGCCAACTCTTATTAATCATTTCCATGGTGGCTTTCGTAACCTGCCTGAAGCGACTATAGAAGTACTTGTGAACAGCCCTAAGGTATACGACCGAATGATAGTCCAAGGTATCAGCCGTACGGTGAGCAGGTGCTGTGACGTTGACAAATCTTGATTCACTTGAAATTCTATAAAATAAATCAAATCGTAGATATGGAGTGTGACGTGATTTTTCGATTCACGGTCATAAGACGACTCCGGCTACCGATACAGGTAACGTTCTCGATTTTTGGTTCCCTTCGGGTCGCCACCCTGTTCAGAAGCTGCGCTCTCGGGTTGATTCGTATAGTTATACCAATGCTCTCGGAAGATTTCGTTATGGTTTAATTGAGGTCGAGGTGCTCGGATCTGCCGTGGGGAGATAGTCTCGACGTACCGAGTTGCCCGGCAGAGGAGACGACCCGACGGAGACGTCTTCACGGACCGGCAGAAGCCCGGGTAAGATACCGGCGCCCCGCTGGAGATGGGCAAAGGGCTGTAGAGCTGGTGGAGTTATAGTTTTGATACGGTTAAGGGCAGGGAAGGAACCTCCTGACCCGAGCTAAGGATGTGGTGCCCAGCTGTCGCCCGATGCCCTGGGGAAGCGGCCGTGGAGGATCTTCAAAAGTGTTACGTACCGATTCGCTAAGGAACGCTCTCGATTTGGTTTAAAGGGACGACTCGAGGGAGATGGAAGGGTTATCGGCTATAAGGATCTCGACCAATCAGATGATCAGAATGATTAGTTCTAAAATTTGGCTATTTTGGCAAAGCAGTCTGTCTCGGGGCACCGACCGAGGTGTCACGAACTGCCTCGCGCTCCCGTGCTGTCTGTTTATAGTTTTTCTACCTTTGTTTCGATACGGTATAGAAAGTTCTCGTTCGTGTAGTTCTCTCGTTGCTTTCGCGATATCCAGGAAATTCTATGGATTTTCTGTGAGTGTTCTGGAAGTGTAATGCTGTGCCCTAGTGCAGTGCCCACCCGAGTGTCCTCTGGATACGGTTCTCGGTTTTCACGGATTAGCTGCACCAGCTCCGGTGAGTCTCCCAATTTATTAATTGGTCAAAGGATTTCGATTGATAGTTCGGATTCGCTCTGTTACGTTCTCGATTCGTTGCTTCCGTTCGTGCATCCAGTTGCGTTTGCTGATTTTACGCGACTCCAAAAAACGACAGGATCCGTTAAGTTATAACATTATCTGATAGACCCCGTCAGAGCTCTCGTTTTGGTGGTGTTGGGCCTGGTCCACCCCAACTCCTAGTTCATACCGGCTCGTCAGTTCCCGGTGAAAAAAAGAATTGGCTGGCGCCCACCTGGCTTGCAGACGCATGAGCGAAGGGTGGACGGCCGAAAATAGTGTAAGTTGGTTCTCGAAAATAGTTCGTTCTCGAATTTTTCACTATCTGTGTCGAGTTAAGAAAATTGCTTAAAAAATGAGACATTTTCAAGTAATTTTTTATTTCCCGGTTGGCATACCTGTCTGTGATCATCGCTAACCTGTTAAGTGTTCACTACGGTAATACTGTTATTCCAACATTCTTGGCTTGAGCGGGGATCAAGAAAAAAAAAAGGTAGATAGAAAATCACTTGGAAATACGTCCATCTTGACGTTCCATTAAGTCCGTGGGTCAAACTTTTAAGTTTATGGGGTTGGAAGCATTGCGCGTTATCCTATTCTCATGGTTTGATCGATGGTGGGCGGGTTGGTTCTTGGGTTCTCGAAAAGGCACCCGCAGCTCCACGTATGTCTAAGAGGCACTTCTTCGTGGGTAGACGGCATGACGGATGATGAGTAGGTAGTTTTCTTTTTTTTTTTTGTAATCGATCAACAATCGAAGAGTGGGGGTACATGGGAAATTTTAAATAAAATATTGATCCCTAAAAAAGTTACGTAATTCGGACATAATTTTGCTAAAAAAAAAAATAAATTTCGTGTATATCAATTACGTTTTTACATCAACCTGTTTGTAATGATTATTATACGTTATAAAAAGATAAATTAGATAACGATAAATTCCATATTGTATAGTAAAAAATATTACTTCAATTGATAAACATTACGTAAATATACTCGATTTCAAGATATTACGTGGTTACGAACGAGACTGTAATTTATGTATATATTTATAATGGTAACATACAGTGTCCAAAGAAAATAACTAATCGGTACCAGGGTCTGAGATCAAAGTAAACGCTTCTAAATAGGGAATAAATCCGAGGCTTACCGATCGAGCGTATCGTAGCTCAATAGGCCGAACAATAGATC